ATGAAATAAATAAAACACAAAAAATTAAAAATATCTTTCATGCATATGTTAAGATCATACAAATTTCATAATAGATGCAACAACGTATGTAACTTTGCTAATCCTTTGATAATGTTAAGTGAGGAATAAAATACGTATATTTACCAAAGGTGTTTTCCATTGCATTGAAGAATATCCAGTGCTGAGTCCAAATTGAGGAGGGATTAAATATAGATAGTGAAGTACTCTGGATTTTCCTGTTTGCAAATGACATTGTGTTGATTTCATAAAGCCAAGGATACTACAGAACCTCCCAAATGACACCCAGAGCCACCAAAAAGAATTTGGTTTATTAATCTTCACAGGAAAAAACAAGTAGGTGAAGGATGCCCTTTGTTCAGGGTATGACATGCAGTTGGATAGAAGGTCCAAAAGTTGGTTCATCCGGATTAATAAGTAGAATTCATATTTATGTACTGTGCTAAGGTTTACAAAGTGTTTTCCTCAACAAAGCAGCACTCTATCCAAGTTAAATAAATGCTTATTAACTTGTCTTTGATAAATGTTTTTGCATCAAAGCAATTCTAGCTTATGCTGCTGTTATATGCAAAAAAATAGCCACAAGGTGGCAGATCAGAACTGTGGTATGACTGAGGTCAATGCCTGAACTATACTATTTAGAAAGTGGTCTGATGTTAACAGGTATGTTGGGGTTATCTGTGAGAGAGAAAAAGAAGGCGACTTGTAGAACTCATTGCATGGATCTATCCAAGACTGTATCACTACCAGAAACAAATACAGCCAGAGAACCAAAGAACAAAGAAATGGGGAAATGGGGAAAAGACAGAGGCATACAGAGAGTTGTGATGCAAAAGCAGCAGATGTAGACAAGGGGGAAGACATTCAGAAACATTTATAATCTATTTATAATCTATAATTGATTTTCTAGTTTAGGAATTTATAATCTGGTAGGGGGTAATTAGTCAGGTGCACAAATAAATGTAATACAAATTAGCATATAAGAAGTACATAAAAAGAATGACATTCTGGGAACCCAGATGAGGGATGATCAGTTTAGGATCTAGGGTAGCTCCGTGAAAGAGGCAGTATTTGAGCTGGGCGTTGAAGGACAGATAAGTGGACAGCAGGTGGAGAAGAGGAGCTGTTATGGAGGATGTTTTTGGTTTAGAGATTTATAGTGAGCAAAGGAATGGGTGAATGTGTGATGCATTCAGAGGAAGGGTAGACTCTTTCAGCTTAGCTGTAATGCTGAATAGATGAGTAGTAATGTGAGATGAGTCTGGAAAGATAAGTTGCTGAACTAAGGACAGCCTTAAATGTTAGAGTAAAAAGGTTTGGCTTTATTAGACAATGGAGAACCTGTGGACATTTTTGAGCAGGAAAATGATATGATCAGACAGCTCTATACATTAGAAATTGTGGAAATTTAATTGACGAAATTTGAAAATTGGGCGTGGTGGCACAGGGAATCAAATATGACTCCAAGGTAGTAAGTATGAATGACATATTATAGAAATTCTACTTCTATACCTCTGACCATTCATTCATTTATTCATTCATAAAACTTCTATTGCATATCTGCTATACAGAAAATATTAAACTCATTCTGTTTTCTTTTTCTTCTTAGTCCCTTGTCTTCTTACTCTGGCTACTTCCTAAAACTGACTGCCTGTCCTTACTTTACTTTCTCTTTTAGAAAGTTAATTTATTCTCACATTTCATCTATCACCTTTATGTTAATGTCTCTCAAACCTTGACCTTCAGGTTTGTCTTCTTCCCATAGCTCTGTTCATCTTCAGTTACCTACTGGACATTTCACAAAATCTCAGAGATGGAAGGGACTTCAGAGACCATCTCATCAAATGCATCCCTGAATGAGAATTCTCTGTTCAACCTCCCCTTCCCCGCAAAGCAGTCATCTGGCTTTGGCTTGAACACCTCTAGTGAAGGGGAGCCTACTATATTCTGAGACATCCCATTCTGCTTTTGGCTAGCTCTCATTGTTAGGAACTTTTTATTTATTCCCTCAAGCCTATGCTTTCTTCTTCGCAGTTTCTACTCATTGCTCCAAATTCTGCTTTCTGTTCAAGCAGATCAAATCAAATTTTTGCATGTGCAGCTTTTCAGATACTTGACGTCAACAATCGTCCCTTCTGAATCTACTCTTCTCCAGGATGAACATCCCCATTTCCCTCAATCTCTCTTCATACAGCATGATCTCTAGAACACAGGTCATCTTCACTGCCCTCTTTTGGAATTTCTGCAGCTTATAAATGTCCATCATTATATAAAGAGGTATGTTGTGCTGTGTTTATGCCTTGTAAGTTATGTGTGTCCACATAGATTTGCCTAGATGTGGTTTTCAGAGAGGCGCGACTAGATATATCCTCCTCCCACTCTTCTCCAAGGAAAACTTTGATTCCTGGCAGGAGGGAAAGCAGGAGGTTGGGGCCAGAGGTGGACTACTCTGCTCCCTTCAGAGAGAAAGGGTACTGGGCTACAATTATATCTATCTGCTCTTTTAAATATAGTTATCCTAGGGAAAATAGTTTTTAGGTTCAAATTGAGCTTCTGATTGCTGTCCTTTAATGTGGACAGAGTGCACCCAAAGCATTCAAGGCTTGATTCTCTTCCCACCAAATGCCAAGTCCACAACAAACACACATAGCAAATAGCAAACAAACAAAATTATACAAACCGATAGCAAACAGAAATAAAAAAAAGTGTCCATATGAGAATGTATACTAGACAATACACAGGGTGACTGAACTCTCCCACTGGGAGCAAAATTATTTCAGCTCAACCAAGAGAGTGAAAATCTCAGACTTCACCCAATAGGACATTTCCCAGAGCCTCTAGTGTAGTGGCATAGATCATTGAATAATCAATCTTGACCAGCGAAAATAGTCTCATGCAAATAAGATTTGAGCCATGTGTTACACTTAAATATAGTGGCTAGAACTGAACATAATACATCAGACTTGATCTGGTCAAGGCTGAGAAGAGTGAGATTGTCACCTCTGTGATGATGAGCACTATACTTTTTTTAATGGAGCCTTTGATTGTATTAGGGCTCTTGGCTACCATATCAAAACAATTGACTATTTAAGAGAGTTATTAAGGCTGAACTGTTTACATTCCTGCATGGAAAGATGATATTTATAACCCATGAGACTTTATCAGTATTAGGGTAGTGGGAGGGGAAAAATTATATGTATATGTGTGTGTATATATATATATATATATATATATATATATATATGTATATGTATGTGTGTGTGTGTGTATAGACAGACAGACAGACAGACAGACAGATAGATAGATAGATAGATAGATAGATAGATAGATAATAGATAGATAGATGGATAGAGGGCACAGGGTGAATTGAAGATGAAGGGGTGATATCTGGAGAATAAAATTAAGGGGTGAGAGAGGATCATACTAGGAGAAGGAGAAAGGGAGAGGTAGAATGCGGTACATTATCTCACACAAAACAGACAAGAAAAGGTTCTTACCTTGGAGGGGAAACAGGGGAAGGTGAGAGGAAATGAGGGAATCTTATTCTCATACGATTTGGCTTAAGGAGGGAATAACATACACACTCAATTCGGTATGGAAACCTGTCTTAGCCTACAAGAAAATAGGGGAGGAAGGGGACAAGAGAGCAGGGGGATGATAGAGAGAAGGGAAGATTGGGAAAGGGGTAATCAGAAGGAAGTACTTCTGAGGAGGGACAGGGTCAAAAGAAAGAGTAGAATAAATGGGGGAGGTAGGATAGGATTAAGGGAAATAGAGTTAGTTTTTCACAACATGCCTACTATGGAAGTGTTTTGCATAACTGCACATGTATGGCCTGTATTGACTTGCTTGGCTTTTCAATGAGGGTGGGTGGGGTGGGAGGAAGGGAGAAAATTTGGAACCCAAAGTTTTAAAAACTCATATTTAAAAAAAATGTGTCCACATGTGACTGGGAAATAAGAAATATAGGAAATGGGGTACAGAAATCTATCCTGCCCTACAGGAAAATAGAAGGGGAAGGGGATAAGAGAAGGTGGGGGAGAGATAGAAGGGAGGGCAGACTAGGGGAAGGGATATTCAGAATGCATGCCATCTTGGGGTGGGGGGAGGGGCAAGATGGGGTGAAAATTTGGAGTTCAAAATCTTGTGGAAGTAAATGTTGAAAACTAAAAATAAATTTATATATACAAAAAAAACCAATTGACTATTAAAATTGTAGTCCACTAAATCCCTTAATTTTTTTTTCAAACTTCTCCTAATCTTTCCCAATCTTCCCAATGGTGAGCACACTCCCTTCCCATCTTGTACTTATTTGTATTTATCTTATTTTATTTATTTATTCTATTTATATTTATTATCTTTATATTTGCACATGTTTATGTATGTACTTTTCTCTCCATTTAGAATATACCCTCCTTAAGAATAGGTTGGGTTTTTTTTATGTTTTACGTTTGTATGCTTGGTGCCTAGAAAAGTGCCTGACACACTGTAGGTACTTAATAAATGGCTGTTGATTGATTGATTTTGTGTTGCTTTTTCATCTTTATTGTTGCTTTTTTATTGTAGACTACTGATATCTACTATACAGCTCTCCATTGCTTCTGATTAATGCACATTTTAAATTCTTTGAAGAATGTAGTGTTCCATGACTTACAGTTACATAGCATTTCTAGTATAATATTTGCTTAAAAATACGTGCCTTTGTACTTGGAAGAAGTTTGCCATCATTAGAGGAACTTTGTAATTTCCTGAAGGAAATCTAGCCTGTTACCCTCCTGCTTAATTCAAGGACCAGTTAATTAATTGTCCATTTGTATTATCCATCCTAAATAGCTTTTCAGATGAATGAGGTATATAGATTGTCAACATAACTGCATATCAAATTCTAGACAATAAGGATTCTCCTCTGTGTGTTTTTTTCTCTCTGTGGATAATTGGGTCAATTTTTTTGAGCAGTCATTGATCTTTCCCAGGAAGCTCTGCAAAATTCTGGGGCTTAATGGAAATAGGAACATATGGAAGATTCCATTGTTGATATAGAACACCTATTTAACTTGGACTCTGTGATGAATCTCTTCCATGTCAGTGGCAAATAATTTTGGTGAGTATATATGCTTCACTATTCTATATCTCACCTCCTATTAATAATTAGAGGGCTATCAAAATGTTTTCATGTTATATTTTTCAAGGAATTTTGAATATTTTGATGTATCCATGAAAAACATTTTATTGGAAGAGAATGAATTTTGCTCTACCCAATCAAATGCTTTAAAAAAAATTCAACAAATAATAAGCACAATTGAATCTTGAATGAAGGAAGGAATGAATAAAAGAAAAAGGATTTACTAAACACACACATGTGTAAAGTGCTGGGCTAAATTCTCTGCTAAGCTATACAAATAGAAAAAGCAAAACAGACTGTTCTCAAGGAGCTCATGTTTCAGGCGGGAGACCACACATACAATGTGATGATGGAGGAGGAAGAGCCTGGCATAGCAGCATGGTCAGGAGTCTGGGCGTCACTATAATTTCAGGGGTCTTGCGTTCAGGGTCCTGAGCTATCTTTATCCAGATCTTAGGAGAGGTAGTGGTTGAGGAAACAGAGGGGTTTCGGATTGCTTGTAACATGTTGCCTTTTGTCTTGAATATATGTTCTATATCTTTCAGTCAATGTGAAATGGAAAAAAATGTGGTCTACTGTGGAGTATTACTTGTAAAAATCTGCCTGTTCCTTACTAATATCCTTGAATGCCCTTGGTACTAATATCAAGACTGCCCCTGATGCATACATAGATTGGTCTCATAAAAATTTTGCATAGATGTGAAAGCAGGTATTTGGACTAGCAGTTGATGTTCTCAGTCACCTATTTTGGGGTGCTAATAAAGCCTGAGATTTTTTTTCATACCTTGGGTATCTTCCACCTCTCTGTGAATTGACCTCTCATGCCCTCAAAACTGTTTTACTTTCAGCATAGGTTTCCTCTACATACACTTGGCCTAATCCAGAATTTTTTCCTATGTTTGCTCTCTTTAGTGCCATTTCTGCCTCTTCTCTAATGAATCAATAGACACTTATTAAATACCTGCAATGTGGCAGGTATGGTACAAGTTGCTAGGGATATTAAGAGGAAAATGACATGTCATTGACCTCAGGGAGTTACAGTATGTAAGATTTTACATTTGCCTCCATTAAAATTCATCTTGTTTAGCCCTGTTATGATTTTTTTTTTGAATCATGGTTCTGTTATACAATGTGTTAGCTCTCCCTTCCAGTTCTGTCATCTGTAAATTTGATGAGCATGCCTTCTATTCCTTTAACCAAATCATTGATAAAATGTTAAACAGCACAGAGATTTGGTGTATTCCACTGGAGATCTCTTTCCAAATCAACAACAATTAATGGCTATTCTTTGGGGCCAGCCATTCAATAAATTCTAAACTTAGCTAATTGTTCTGTCATCTACCCCACATCTATCCATTCCAATAGTGTGAGAGAGTTTATCAAATATTTTTTTCTGAAATCTAGCTATCACTCTGACAAAGAATTTTTTTTAACAAAGGAAAAGAGAAACAATTTAGCAAAACCAATCAATACATAGAAAAATTTCATGTTATAGGCAATGTTTCAGAACCAGACTCTTCAGTGGATCTGGGGTGGAGGGAGTAAGTTCTCATATTTCATCTTTGGAATCAACTTTGTGCCTTATAATTTCACACAATTCAGTTCTGATAATTGTTGTAATTCATTGTGCACACTATTTTCCTTGCTCTGCTTAATTCATTTTGAATCAGTTCATATGACTCTTTCCGTGCTTCTCTACATTCACATTCGTAATTTGTTAGAGAACAGTAATATTCTATTACATTTATGTACCACAATTTATTTAGTCATTCTGCAATTGATGGATATTTGATTGTTTCCAGTTATTTGCTACCACAAAAAGTTCTGCTAAAAATATTTCTGCGTATATGAATGGCTTTTTTTGGTAAATGGCTTCCTTGGAGTATATGACTAGCAGTGGAATCTCTGGGTCAAAGGGCATAGCCATTAAGGACTCTTCAGCTATATAATACCAAATTGCTTTCCAGAATGTTTATACCATTTCACAGCTCCATTAACATGGACTATTCACTTTGTCATCTTTGCCAACTTGTAAGTGAAACTCTGCACCTTCATTTTAAAAGTTCATTTCAGTCAGTCAATAAACATTTATTAAACACCTGCTATGTATCAATCACTGTGCCAAGTTCTAGGGATACAAAAAGAGACAAAAGATAATCCCTGTCCTCAAGGAGCTCACAATCTAATGGGCAACACAAGAAAATATGTACAACCAAGGATAAATAGGAAGTAATAGAGGGAAGGCACTAGAATTAAGAAGAATTGAGAAAGGCTTCCTGTAGAAGATGGAATTTTAGTTAGGACTTAAAGGAAGTCAGGAAAGCCAATAGGTGGAGAGTAGGTAGAGCCTTTCTGGCGTGAGGAACAGCCAGAGAAAATGCCTAGATGGAGTCTAGAGATGGAATGTTTTGTTTATGGGACAGCTAGGAGGTCAGTATTCCTGTATTGAAGAGAGCATGTCAAGGAATAAGGTGCATGAATATTGAGAATGTAGGAGGGGTCTAGGTTATAAAGGCCTTTAAATACCAAAAATAGCCTTTTGTATTTGCTCCTAGAGACGATAGAGAGCCAGTGGAGTGTACTGAATAGGAAGGTGATGTGATTAGACCTACATTGTAGGAAAATCACTTTAGTGACTGAATGAAGGATGGATTGGAGGCAGGGGAGAGAAGGGAGACAGGCAGACCCATTAGCAGGCCATTGTACTAGTTCAAGCATGAGGTGATGACAGCCTGCTCCCAAGTGGAGGCAGTGTCAGAGGACAGAAGGGGGCATATTTGGGAATTGTTGCAGAGGTGAAATTGACAGTTGTTGGCAACAGATTGGATATGGTGTGTGTGTGTGTGTGTGTGTGTGTGTGAGAGAGAGAGAAAGAGATAACAAAGAATTGAGGATGACTGCTAGGTTGCAAATCATTTATTAAGAACCTCTTGTAAAAAAAGCTACATGCTAGGCACTGGGAAAAGAAATAAAGTTTAAGATCCTTCCCTCATGGAACTTACAGCATAGTATAGTTATGAGAACACAATGAATTAATATTTAAAATGCAGTAATATTATAAGATCAGTGACCTTTATACAAGTCTGCTCTGTTACAAGGCATCCTTTTTAGGAGTTTTCATTCCTACCACACCTTATTATGTAATTAACATTAGTAGCAGTTTTCTCAGCAGATTAAATTAATATTTACGGTTGGTTGTAAAAACTCTGATATTTAGCACCTTCCACCCCCTTTCATCTACTCTACCACCAGAGCTGCAGAAGAGTAAGGAAACAAAAGAAGATGAGGACAATTTTATATTTCACTCTGCTTCATTGATTGCCATGGTCACTTGGTGGACAAACTGCTGGTAAGAGGTCTCTCTGCCTTTTGAGAGGTTGGTCCTTGGATTAGGACTGTATGCTAAGCTCTTGTAGTTGAGCAGAAGCTTCTAGAGCCTGTGTTTTATGGGCATAGCCTTCAAGGACCCAGACTTAGCTCCACATCACAATGAGGCATTGGAATAAGACTTTTGTCCTGCTTTTTACACTTTAGTATGCAATAATTTGTCAGTTCTTATCTAAGTGATAAGGTAGCTTTGAACACAGGTGTTGGTGAGTGGCAGAAGGCAGAAGTGTACCTAGTGAACAACATGTCTTTGAGAAGAGGGTTTCAGAAGAAAGATAAGAGGTGCTGAAGCAAGATCCTGAAAGAAATGGGAGAAGAGGATTGAGGGCATAGTGGAGGGGTTAGTCTAGGAAAAGAAATAGGCCACCTCGTTCTAGAGTTTACTGACAAAGGTCTTGCCACCAACCAAGTGAGACAATGCTTTGAAATACTCACTCTGTGAGTATTAAGGCTTTAGAACAGGAGTAAGTATTTATCCCACTCTGTAATCCCAGCCGTAGCTTCATGGACAACCTGGGAGCAGTGTAGTGCGATGGCTTGGACAAGGGACTTGGATTTAGGAAGACCAGGCTTCAAATCTCACCTTAGATCCTCAGTGCTCTGGCTCAATACTTACCTCCCTTGTGCCTGAGGTTCTTCATCTGTAAAATGAGAAGGTTGGACTCCACGACTACTGCAGTCTTTTCCCAGCTTTGAATCTACAATCATCTGACCCATTATCTTTCTTCTAGCAAACCACAGTTCACCTTTATGTTGTCATTGGCCCAGTACCCGGCACATAGCAGGCAGGAAACAAATTTTTATTGAATGAGTCCCTTGTCTTTCTTGCATCACAGAGCAAGGTCAGCTAGAGGCCGTATCACCCACTGCAGCACCTGTCAAAGCACAAGTCAGCACTATCAGCATGACCTCGCAGTGGGGGATAGCTTTGTATTGACAGCAGCCAGATCTGGCCCCATCATTTAGTACAATGGCTCTTTTGTTTTTGTTTGTTTTTTTAAGTCAACACAACCACAACCTATGATATCTAGAGAATGCTAAGACTCTATAGGAATGCTAATGTTTGCAAGAGACACACCCTTTACCCAAGACCAAAGTATAATTCATAGCTCAGGGTTCTGGGTACTTCTGCAGGAGCTAGGATATCAATAGCACACATTTATGTAGCTCTTTAAGGTTTATAAATGGTTTTCCTTAAGAAACTCCTGTGGCTTAGTGTACACTATCCCCACTTATAAATGAGAAAACTAAGGTTCAAAGAAATTAAATGACTTTCCCAAGGCCATAAAGGTATTAAGTACCAGGAGCCAGGATTCAGGTTTTCTCACTCCAGGACTGGTGCTTATTCCATTAAACTAAGGCAATTTCTCAGCAAACAGAACATCCCCTACCAAAACGCTGGACTCTGTGTTGTCGTTCTGTCATTTTTTTCAGTTGTGTCTGACTCTTTGGACTCCATTTGGGGTTTTCTTGGCAAAGCTCCTGGAGTGGTTTGCTATTTCCTTCTCTAGTTCATTTTCACAAGTGAGAAACTGAGGCAAACAGGGTTAAGTGACTTGCCCAGAGTCACACAGCTAGTAAGTGTGTGAAGC